AAGTTCACTGATTCTTCTGCCTCCTTCATTTGCAGTTTTGTTGTTTTGTTTTGTTTTTTTGTTATTGCATTTTTTTAGTTCTAAATTTTCCATTTGGTTCTTCTTTATATCTTCTATTTCTTTGATTTAACTATTTTTCATTTATTTCAGGCATGTTTGTAACTGTTTGTTAGAGCATTTTTTTGTGATACCTACTTTAATTCTAACATCTACCTACAGATAATTCTAATATCTGTCATCCAGTTCTCTGTTAGCTCTCATTTATTTATATTTTCATTCAGGTTGAGAACCCCATCCTTATTGGTATGATGAGTAATTTTAAATTGAAACATGGACATTTGGAGTATTATGTTATGAAACTCTAGATCAAGCCTGGATGTCTAAATTCCCAACGTGGTCTCTGCTGACACTAGGGAGAAGGGCTTTCTCCTTCCTGGCAGGAGTGAAAGTCCAGGCTCCCACCCTGACTTCTCAGACACCACAGCCTGGCCAGGAGGAAAGTCTTGGCTCCCCATTCTTGGCTGCTGTGCTTGAAGAGTGGGCCTGGGCCTACCTTTTTTTCCATGGTGTTGACTGAAGAAAAGCTATTATTGTCATATAATTTTTTGTCTTGCTAAGCTGTCCCTCTCCTGATTCTTTGGCTAGAGAGAGCAGGCATTTGTTGGGCTTTTTTGTCTGTGTCCATTGGCATTTCTGGGTTGTGGGCTTCTTTCGCTCCAAGTCTGATATATATGAGCCAAAGGAAAATATTGAGCACTCATTCACATGTCCTTTCCTGGGTCCCAAGGTTCCTGGCCAACCTACCTCCTTTCTGTCTTTCAGATTCTTCGTATGTTTGGTACATATATAATATCCAAGGGTTTTAGTTGTACATAGTGGGGGAGTTACGGGAAAGTACATTTATTCCAAGTTCCTGGCAACAGAAGTCCAAATGATAGAATTTAAGACACTAAGGTTGCTACACTTCCAATTACTACGATTGAATCTTTCTAAATACTTACCAACAGACTTCAATTACTTCTTATCTATTAGCTTCTAAGTGAGTTTCTGTAACTTACCATCATAATTTGGTTTGTAGATTTTAAAAAAAGTATTTCAATCTGATTTAGTTATAGAGAGAAAAATATTTCCTTTCAGCTAGTAACGATATCAAGATAATATGTAATTCCCTATCAGGTGAATTAGAAGTGAACAAATCATATTAGATGTATCAAGGTGAAAAGCTGAATAAAAATAAGCACAGTTAGGCTTAGCTCTTCTTTGAATGCCAAAGACTAATACAACCAGAATATTTTGGGTTTTTCAAAGTGGATAATTGTAGGCTTGCCTAGTATAATATCACTGGTAACTTTTATTATTATTCTAGCCATCTTTTAAAAAGAAACAAAATAAAATAATTGTTTCTTAATTCCAGGTACTCAGATTTACTTTGACAACATAAGTCACTGTGCTCTGCTTCAGGCACCATCACGCCCCTTCACGTTGCCCAGACTCTGCTGCACCAGGCCATTTGCCCCTTCCTGAATAATAATTTACACCTTCCCAGAGCTTTTCTGAGTTCTGTTTGGAAGACGTCCTCTCTTTTCCCCTCTCAAAGTCCTTCCATCTCTTGAGGTTTATCTCCAGCGTGCCAACCTACACCTTACCCTGATAATGATTTTCCAGCTCTTGGGAGAGACAGCACTTTAATTTAGTCTTAAAGGATGAGCTAGAATTGCTCAAAGGTGCAAGGCTGAGCAGGAAGGAGGGAGCAGGAGGTGTAGGGCATCTGCATGCTCCATTGGCAGAATGGGTTAACGCGTGAAAGGACAGAGGAGGAAAACCACCTGATACATTTCAGCACACCACCTACAGCTTACTACTGGCATCAATTTTGAGAATAGGAGTGGTGGGAAATGAGGCTAGAAAGTGAGCTAAGTATAACATTAGGAAGTATTTGTATTCCATGGAAAATATTGTAATTTTTCAGTAATCGCTTAGTAGGCATTCAATGTTTTTGTTTCTCACTCTGTAGACGTTCAGTTTTATTCCTTCCTTCTGATACTTATCTTAATTTACTTCAAATTATAATTATATATGTGTCCTTGCAATAAGATTGCAAATTCCTTTAGGATAGGATTGTATCTAAAACAGTAGCTCTCACCAGTGGCAGTTTTCCCCCTTAAGGACATATGGCAATGTCTGCTGACATATTTGGTTGTCCCAATTGTCAACTGTCTTGATGGTAAGATGTTACTGGTTAAACATCCTCACACACAAAAATTGCTTAACTGAAAATGTCATTGATGTTGAGATTGAGAAACCCTGGCTTAGCTCATCTTTGCAGCCCAGGTAGCAATTAGCAGAGTTGCACATTATAGGAGGCATTCAGAGTTGTTAGAAATGATTTGAAACCCCTTTTCTATAGGTAAGTTTTATAAATTGCTATGAGGGAGTAAAAATTAAATTAGAAATTTATATGGTGTAGGAAAATTAGAAGATAACAGGGGTTTATGAATCTTGATTAATTGGGGAAACAAATTTTCATTTGTATTTAGAGGAGACCAATTTAAAAGCTAAAGTTCTCTTAATCAGCAAGCTTTTGTAATGAAATGCAGCAGGATTTACTCTTCTATCAAAGGAGCCTCCCCTGATAGTTAAAGAATGCAACGAAATACAATTAAAAGATCACTGGTAAGCAGAATGCAGTTCCTTCCCTGTGTTCTGGGAGAGTAGTGCAGTTAATAATCTAGGATCTTGTGACACCTTAATGAAAAATTTAAACTTTTTGGCCTTGAATCTCACAATTTATCAATGCTGTTTACCTACATCTTTATTCCTGAAGTAATTATACGGTAAGTAAGAATCAAAAGAAAAGTTTGTGATTTTGTTTTAAAAAAATATGCTTTATAGATAATTCAAGTAATAAGTATTTAAAACTGAAGAGACATATTATTGATAAATCTGTAACATTTAGCCATGGATGGTAAGGGCTTCATGTGGAGGAAAGGGAGAAGCTATAGACATACCCAGGGCAGTTAACCAAACCATTGCCTCTTTACCTAGCCACAGTCCTTTCCAAGTACAATGACAGAGAATCCGTGGGACCAGGTCACTAAATGACTAGAGCACATTTATGTGTCCTGGTGGATAAAGATTAAGAAGTGTTAGTATAATCTATTTTTCCAGTACCCGTGAAAATGCTCAAATCACCATGTGATTTTGTTTGGTCAAATCAAAGTCTTCACTAAAACCAAATGGGAGACACTGGTTTTTAATAGTACCCTGTACTTGAAAAATAAGTCCCATAAAAACAATGATCCTGATGATTCTATTACATAAGAAAATAGTTCTTACAATTGCTATTTTATTGCCAATAGCAACATATAATTCAAAGAGAAAAATGCTGATTTGATGATTTTTTGAAGATTTTTTTTAAAAGAAAACTAACTCTGCTAATATAACATCAGCGGTATCCTTAGTTAGCTGTCTCTTATGTGTAGTGGTTCAGATGCTACATCTGGGTTTGGAGGGCAGGGGGTACACATGCCCTCTCATCTGGGATCTGAAAACAAGCCCCTGAAGAATATGTTGCATAGTCTTCTCTCCCATCCATTCCTCCCCCAACCAGGGGCACTACTTTTGTGCCAGGACAGCCCCTGATTCATCCCGTGCCAGTTTTCCTTCAAACAGAAATTACAAATTGTCTCAAATTTCTTTTAACTGGACCCACTTTGTCTCCAAATAGTTCTGTGCTTGTTAAATACCTAAGAGTGTCCTCTCTGACTTAAAATGCTCTACTCACATCTTCCAGAAGGATTCCTGTCATCTAATAAAACAACTTCATTGGGCTTATCAGGCAGGGCAGCCGTGTTTCTCAGCTTCCCAAGACCGCAGCCTTTTCTAGTGTTCCCGCCCCCACACCAAATACTGTCCTGTAGGGAGTGAAGGGGGTCTTACTATATGGTGACGGGAGAAGATATGACTTTGGATGGTGGGCACACAGAGCAATATACAGATCTTATAACATAGAAACCCATACCTGAAACCTATATGTTCATATTAACCATTGTCACCCCAATAAATTTAATAAAAAACAAAACAAATACTGGTCTGTAGGGTCAGGTCTCAGCAAGATCAATGCCTTTCTCAAATGCCGCCATGAATAATCTTCATCTCAGCTCTGAGGACATACTTCTAAAGATTTCCCCAAACTCGATTATTTGGGGTAACAATTTTTCCATTTATCAAGAAGTATATCAGTTTACTTCCTTCTAGCTGTGCTCATAATTTGACTAAATGACTATTATACTGATATGAAGGGTCACAAAATCACTCAGTCTGAGGGGATAGATATCAAAGAACTTTGCTGTGCTCCTGTGCAGCTACCAGTTTCAGTAAGTGAAGACTTGCCTGACCATAGTGACCTTTTGTGGTATGTTTCTGAAAGGACTTTGTGATGTGTATATTCTGAATTCAATGCGCTGTGATACTCATGACTGACAGGTGTCTACTGCAGGGCTCCTCTGTAACATATCATCCTAACTGTACTTGGTATACCCAGTTCCTGTTACAGGTCTAAATAAGAAGTCTTTTTACTTATAAAGTGTTCATGCAACATGCCATGGAATCTCCTTAATATTTTTCCCTGAAAATAATTTTATGATAGTTAGTGACTAATGTAAGTAAATTAGAAGTTGATGGGCACAAATGCAAATGTTATTGCATTAATGAATGGCTATAATTCTTTTTTCTTTTCCTGCACCTAAAATAACTTGCTTTAGATCTCCTGGCAATTAGCAAATCTTACACATAATTGCAGGTCAGAGGGAAATATATACTTATCAGGCAGGTAAGCTTCCTTGAATCAGGAATCCACATGGGTTGAGACGCAGCCTGATGGACCATTCTGGAACACCAGATCTAGTCGTAAACCACCTGCCTTTGAACAGTCGCTCCCCCAGCGAGCTCCAGGTCTGTCGCCTTTGCCTCATGTCTAAAGCATCTTTGTTTTGTTTCAGCTGGCAGGGTTCATCTACGCCTGTTATGTTGTGAAATGTATAACTGAAGAAGAGGACAGCTGTAAGTATTAAAGCTCTATTCTGTTTCTTTCAAGTTCAAAGCCTCTCCTTTACTGCCTCCTACCTAGCCTTACTAGTTCCCAGACAGTATCTCCCACACATTAGAATAGGCAATAAGCCTTTTGCATCCATAGGGCTAAAGTGTTTTCATAAAAGTGTACAGGATAGTGAAACATTGGGGAAGGACTCATTTTGAAAACATATCTCTTTCTTATTGGAAAGTACTTTTAAGATCTATTCCTCTTACAACAATTCAAGTAGGGAATACAGAGGGGAAACTGGAGGCAGAAGTGATTTTTAAACGTGGTTCACTTGACTGTTCTCTTTTTAGAAACCATTTATTAGTACTGATAGCTAATCAGTTTTGCCCAAGACTATAAACCTAAACAGTCAACAATTTGCAATAGTTACTAAAACTCTCACAAAAACTGACTTCAGATTAACTTTTAAAATGTATCTTCAGGAAAGCAATTTTTTATATTTCCTTTTTGTTCCTACACTTTGATTCAAATAGCTAAAACTCTATGCCTCGGTCTCAGCATTGAGTCCTATTGCTTGACCCAGAGTTGACTCGGTGGTGCCCTCCCACAGGCCTCCGAGTGGCTCCACTGTCCTCTGCTCTTCCAAAGCTGGACGGTACAAGGTTTCACTCCTTCCGTGCCTCCGAAGGACCTGAAAGAGGAGGCCTGGAAGAAGTTCCTCCTAGTCTCTCTGAGCACTGTCATGGCTATTTACCCATGCAGCTATATTTACTCAGGGAAAATCAAAATTGGAAGTCATTCTTTTTGGTTTCCAAAAATATTCATAATGATTGGGGTTTGAGACAGAGGGAAAAAAAGAGGAGAATTCACGGCCCTGTTACGGGATGATTGGAGGAACACAGAGTGCATAGTTTATATTATTTTGTGTGTGAAAGGAAATGATGGCCTTGTTGCTAAAAAGGCATTTGTAAAACACTTTTCAATGCATCAAGTGCTCTGTCAGGCTTTGGAGATTTTAAGATTCGTAAACCACAATGTTTTACCTCTAGGAATTTACCATCTGGTAGGTGAAAGCAAACGTGGACAAATAAGTATCATAAAACCCTCTAGAGCGTATAGTAGGGGGAGAGAGGCAAGGGGCCAGGAAATGCTTCATAGGAAAGGACACTCTTGAGCTCGGTCTTGGGAGATGAATAGATGAAAGATGAGTAGGGGAGCCAGCGTGTGAGTGAGAGGGTCCAGGTAAGAGGTGGAGAAGCACCAAGGCATCTCACAGCCGGTCATGGTGGGGGCAGAGAGGCCGGGTTGACGTGGCTGGATCGCATCCTGTACTAGAGATGGGTGTCCAGAGGAGATCAGGAAAGAGAGAAAAGACAGTAGAAAAATGGTATGACAGGGTGAGGAATTTGGGCTTCCTTTTGTATAGCACGATGACAAATCAATTGTATTGTATAAAAACAGAATAATGTAATCAAAATGTAATCACTTTAGAAAAATCACAGTGGTATCAGTGTGGAGGAAAGACGTTGGGGGCAATGAGGCAGGTTAGGGGAAGGGAGACTAGTTAGACACCATGACAATGCCGGAGAGACAGGATGGTGAGGTCTCGCTGAGAACCGTGGTGTCGATGACACATGCTGGGACAAAATGATTAATGGGCTGTGGATGGTGCTGTGTAAGGACAATGAAGGAACTGATAGGTTCCTGGGTTTCGGGTATAAGTGACTGGGTCCATGGAGATGTCACTTGAGGAAAATAGAACGGGAATGTGAAAAGTGGTTCAATTTGAACAGGTTGAGGTGAAGGTGCCTAATGAATATATAAGAGAAGACATCTAGTAAGCACTTGTCTTATGCACAAAAGATGTATTCAAATTAGGAAGGGCAATAGGTTTATGGATTTTAAAATGTGCAGACTCCACAAATTATGTAAGTGCATTCAGTTGTTACCATTCAGTGTTTTTGTGCCAAATCTTTAATGAAAGGAAAGTCTACAGGTTAAATTTGATATGAGAGTTGAGTTCCTTAGACTATAATGATTGATTTCATGTCACAGTGATGCTAGTGCATTTTTAACTTCACAAAATACTGAATACCCAGTGTCCTAGACAGATCATCAGTATCTCTCCAGAATAGTGCCTCCCAGAGGGGATCTCAGAAATGCTGATTCCATAAGATGTACTGCTCAAAAAAGATCCCAAAGACAAACAAGTCTGACACTGAAAATTTAGAATGCACGGTTACATATTCACGTCTTTGTGACTACTGCAATAAAGAAGTATGTTCCATTTTTCTTACATTTTTCTATATTTTTGTTTTAACCATATTGCTTTGGGTGAGGTATAATGAAGCCAAGCACAGATCAAAGAGAGAAACCACAAATAGTTTTGTGGGTTTATTATACTCATAGTTTCCTGGGGAGAACACTGCATGCCACAGAGGGCCACACAGAAAGCGCCAGGAAGCACCAGGGTAGGTCGCAAGGTGGAGAGAGAGCGGAACTGTGGGCAAGCACCTTTATCGTGGTTTCTTTCCATCTAAAGAATTGAGCAAGGCAGGCTAAGCAGGTTTAGTATTAGCTAGCAAAGTTTGAAAGTGGCACCTTGTGAAATTTGTGTTCAGTGTGACTGTTAGAAAATATGGTTTGGGCTTATCTAAAGTCTCCAGATGTTTTAGGTGAGCTAGGGCTTACCTGGGATCAGCCAGTGGTCATTCTGTATATGTTAATGCATCAATTTACAAAAATTAAAAGTGTAGTAATATCCCAAACATCTGAAAACAGAATGCTTTTTCATAAGAAATCTTAATATTCTAGAGAATTAGAATTCCAGAAAACACATTTTAGGAAATTCTGCCCTAGATCTAGTTTTGGCCAAAGTTAAACATCTTTTGGAAGATCAGGTTTATCTTTCAAGCGTCAAATAAACCATTTTCCAAAAGACTCTAAAATAATGCTTCTGTCTTTATATGTATTAGCTCTTCCTTCATTATTACTCCAACTTCTCAAAGGCAAGTTTTATCATTTCAGTCTTTTTGCTCAGTGGGCAAGATATGAATTACTCGTTTATTTTTATATCCAAGTAGACTGAGGCTTACCTTAGAGTGTCAAGGAACTAAACAGCCTGCAGGAGATGCTCACTGGGGCCAGTCCTCTGTCCAGTTAGGTTCATTTACTTGTGGCCATTTGCACATAAACGGACAGTCACAAGTGTTGGGTACAATACTTTCGGTTGATATTTCCATGAATTATCACAGTTTTGGTCATTTGTCTGTATGTTCATCTCCAGACACTCCTTAGAACACATGACTTCTAATGCTCAAGGGTAAAGAAGTCTCTGTCTAATTTTTGGTTATTATGTCACAAAGGAAATTATTTTGATCCTTTAAAATATTCTGACTTGATGAAAGTCAAGCACGCACACACACACACACGCTCTCAGAAAGTGCACCCTGATGTATGGGAAAAGCTTAATGTCTGTGTAATCAGGGAAGAGCTGGATCTCTGTGTCTATTCTCGCCTGCTGTGGATTGGTAATGAAGCATCCTGATAGGAGTGTCGTGCAGGAGGAGGTGCTGGCTACCTGCTGCCTAATTAGTTGAGTTTCCATTCCTCAGAGCCCCTTAAGGAACAGAGGGCAGTTCTGTGCTGAGATAAAGGCCCAATTATGGCAAATGGAAGATTAAAGTATTCTTGGTGTCAGTATGAAGCTGACCAGCCACGTGCTCAGTTTTGACACTTCAGGCCTCAGCAGCAACTGTGGCCAGGGAGCCTCCCAGGCAGAGACCTCTGGGAGCAATGGAGAGGGTCCAGGCTCCAGGGGCACAGACTCAAACTTAGATGCCATGAAATAGCAACAAGTCAGCCCTGAACAAGAGGGAGTGAGATTGCATGTCAAATGCCTGAGAATTTTGTTTACCTTATTTCTCCTTTTAAACAGAATCTCATTTGTTTTTCTAGAGCCCAGTTTGATTAATATTTATGTGGACATTTTAATGCAAAGTTGTTGGTTTTTCCCATGAAAAAGCCTGGACCTTGAAGTTTACATCTCTTACCCTTTGGTTATCTAAGCCAGAGCCGCAGCCTGACAGGCCGGCTGGCTGTGCACACTCACAGGACAGCACTGCCATCTGCTGTGCTTCCCGGGAGATAGCAGCCACCCTGGGAGCAGAGCTGGCAAACAGGAAGGTGGGACACTTCTGTCCCCAGGTATTAGTCACCTGGGGCTGCAATAGCAAAATACAGAAACTGGGTGGCTTCACCAACACAGTTCATAAGGCTAGAAGTCCAAGATCGAGGTGCTGGCAGGTTTGGGTTCTGCTTCTTTGGCTTACAGATGACTGACTTCTTGCTTTGTCCTCACGTGGACTTTCTTGTCTGTGCGTACATGACTGTGGTGTCTCTTTTTCTTCTTATAAGGACACCGGACCTATTGAATTAGGGCCCCACCCTTATGGCCTCATTTTACATTAATTACCTCTTTAAAGGCCTCATCTCCAAAAACAGTAACATGGGAGGTCAGGCCTTCAGTATATAAATTGGGGGGAACACAACTCAGCTTATAACATTCCATACACACACACACACACACACACACACCATGTGGCTCCTGGATATTTGAAAATACCTGTGGGGCACAGGGCCAGGCTGGCTTGGCTCACGGGCCCATCAACCGCCTGTGGGTAAGGGGTCCAGGCCGCACGGCTCCGGGCCTCCTGGGCTCCGTGCGCACCACCCAGGAGTACACGGTCAGCATCTCCTGCCACGGGCCAGGGTGACCTGCCTTCAGATGAGAAGCTCCTCACCAGGAAAAAGCTTGGACCCTGCTCCGGAGGGTGCGCCTTGACACTTGAACCCTGTTTGAGTGGGGCAACCATCACAGCCTATTTTATATATTTGCTCATGAAAAGGCAGCCGCATGTCTTAGGGGAAAAGGCATCCTCCAGGAAAGCGGACGCCCCTTGCTGAGCTGGCTTTGTGGCTGGCTCTTCAGTGCACCGTTTGTTGCCAGCCATGCTGAGTT